TCGGCCTCCCAGAGAGCTAGAATTACAGGCGTGAGCCACCGCACCCAGCCAAAGCTTTTGCCATTTCTATGACAGCTCCTGGTGCTCCCACTGCTTGCCCAGGCCTACCAGATTTGGCAGTAGAGGTAGCAGTGGGAGCAGTTCCAGTTCTGGTGGTGGCTCTCTGGGGCCTGCCTCCTGGGCCCATGGCAATGAGTTCCTCAGCTGCCGCTTGCCAACAGCTGTCTTGTCACTGCCTCATGTCCCTGCCCCTTGCCTGGCTCGTGGAGCACCATGCATGGCTGGTGCTGGGGGCAGGGCAGCAGCCCCAGGCCACTTCTGCTCATGTGGCTTGGCAGTAGTGGCACTCCTGTGCCAATTAAAAGGCCCGCTAATCGAGTCCCCACTGTCAATCGTACCTGGGGCTTCTGTAGGGATATTTGGATTGGAGACACTAGTGAGGCATGGAGCCCTGGGCCCCCTCCTTCATCATCTGAGTCCTGGACTCGAAGAACCATTTGCTCTCCTGGGGTTTCTTGCTACCTGGAGTCCTTTGCAATTTTGGGCAATATTCTTTCCAATATCCTTCCTTTTTACAAAAAGTACACTGATGATACTTCGACCTGGGTGACTTTTTCCACCCTTTCCTTTTGACTATCTCAAAGGACCCTTGGTTGGAGCAAACAGAACACACATGGGTTTCGGTTTCTGTTGTTCCCTAGTGATACGTACTTTAAAGGCTATATCAGCAAGCTGTGAGGAATTTATGCCAATTGTCCTTTCCACAAGCTGCAGCTTCCTCTGTATATCTGAAGAATTCTGCCCTGTAAAAGTCATATTAATCATGCACATATTTTCAGGGGCCCCTGGATCCACATCTGTATATTTCAGATATACCTGATAGATGTGTTCCAGAAACTCAGAGGGATCTTCATTGGCTTTTTGTTGTAATTCTTGGACCTTATTTAAACTCTTCTGTCTAGGTACTCCCCTCTGGAGGCCTGCCAGAATGCACTTTCAGTAATGGTTTATCTTCACACCATCTGTGTCCACATTAGGATCCCAATTTGTGTAAGTCCAACAATACCCTGCTGGCTGTCCTTGTGCATTCAAGCCCCCTATCTGATATTGCCATAATGGAAATTGCCCTGCCCTGGCTATGGCTGCCCTCTGGCCAAATTGAGTTCCCTGCCAGGTCTTGGAAGGAGAGACCATTCCCGTTCCTGAGTCATAACCCAGGGGGCATGGGACTTAAGAATTGGTGCCAGTTGTGCCCTCCCTGACCCCTTTCATGGTGTCAAGACGGCAGCATCAGCAACGGGTGGTGGCAATGGCAGTTGCCCCAGACCTGGCTCCACACAGGGCAGCCTCTTGGGCTGGCTATGAGGCTCTGGTGGGGGGTAGGGGGAAGCTGCTACCATTAGTTTGTTTTGTGACCACCACTGTATTGGAGGCCACAGCTGTAGCAGGTGTTGTTACAGCTGTCCTAGGGAGCACAGCAGGAGCCAGCACCTCCCCCCTGTGTACGCATGCATCAGCAGGGAGGGAGTGGTCAGGTGGTGGGTGTTCCCCACCTCTGCCTCCCTGACCATGCATTGCTGGGCAGTGGGCCCAGCATGTGCCAGTCGTGCGTCAGTTCCCCTGCCCATCCCACCCGTGCTGGGTGCACCCCTGGGGCCATGGTTCCACACAGTGCCTCACCTTGGCCAGTGCCCAGCAGCTGACTTAGAACTGGTACAGACCAGGGGAATCTGTCCAATTAAAACAAAGCATCACAAAGGCCTGCAGCAGATGGGGCAGCAGGGCCCTACCAGTGCGAGCTTGAGGGCCACCGAGCCTGCAGTTCCTTCCCCAGAGGGTGGGGAGCTGGTGGTGGGGGAGAAGGTTTTGATCCAACCTGGTTACTTCCTCCCCACTTTTGTCACCTGGCCCTTCAGCCTGCTTATTATACAATTGCATGAAAGATTGTACATATGGAGTCTTGTCTCACTTACCTGACCTTTGACAAACCAATCCCAGTTGTAAAATAGTATAATAATTTAAGATTCCATTCAACAGCCACTTCTCACATTCCAGCATGTACATTGGATTACAATAACACCATTCTCTTTTAGACATAGACTTATAGCTATAAGTTGGCCATTCAGCCAAGATTCTCCCCAAGGGGCTTTCAGATGGAATAGAAATAGAGCTTCCCTATGTTGAAACAAAACTCACAAACAACAAACACAGACAATACAGGGAATTCCCAGTGCAAACAATCTCAAATGCCAAGGCCTTAACAGACAAGTGGGAACTGCACAAATGAGAACCAAATTCTCAAATGAGAACAAACATCTCCTAATTCAAAAGGGAATGAATTCCCCAGGTTCCCTAGTTCCACTCCACCATGACTTCCACCCCCAACAGTGCCTCCAAACAAAATGCCCTGCCATAGGGCTGGAAGGTTTGAAAACCTTTCCCAAATGGGTGGGATCAAGGGTCTCGGTTTGCACACCGGGGAACTTACCAAAAATGGCCGAGATGTCACAACACTTCCCAAATCTGTTTTCTTTTCCTCAACAAGATTCAGGTTGGTTGGAGCGCCATCTAATTCAGGGAGAAAGAGATGGGAGTTCCCCAGAGCTAAACAGGCTCTGGCAGCTGCTGGGGCAGTCCTTTACTCTCTCAGCTCGACAAGACGCTGCTCCTACTGGTGAAGATCCATGGCTTGACCTGGGGCTGCTCCCACAGCAACCATGACAGCAGTTGTGGGGTGCCGTTCCACTGGAGAGCCAATGGGCCCACTCAGTGATGTCAAATTCTGTTAATGAAAATTCAGTACTTGTTTCCGAGGCTGCATCGGAAGAATGAGGACAAGAGATTTGAGGAAAAGGAAAGACTGTATTAATTTGCCAGCAAATGAGGATAGTAGACTCATTTTAAAGGGCCATCATCCTGTCTATAAGCAGAAATACAGAGCTTTTAAAGGGAGTTTTCAGCTTCAGGCTATTGCTGTTTAACTATAGCATTTCTGGTGAAGACAATTTTGTGACTTCTGCCCAGACAATTCCATTGAGCCATCTCCTATGGTACAAAGAACAAAGGAGACTCCCCTTCCCCTCTGATTACTGGCCTCAGGCAGAAATGCAGGTTTTA